GGTTTTCTAGGTCATACTATGCAGTTTTGCCATGGGTTATTTTTTATCTACATGCTATACTTATACATATATGAATAGCAATGGTCTATGTGTGTCTGAGATAGTTATTATTGCCATCTCTTCTACATTCCACTTGCTTTCACACCTTGTATTAAACCTGTATTACAGTCCTGTCACCTTCAGTAATAGAGGAGAGCTTACATCCTTAATTTTTTATGATACCACAACACTCCTATTCTCTCACTCATTATCTCTAATGCCAAGTACAGCACTTGTCTACTTGTCTTCAATCAGGTACTATGCTTACACAACTGTCTCAACCTTAATTTACACCAGCAGGTTCCTCATTCTCGTGTGTCAGTTCTCAGCCACTACATCATTAATATAATTTGACATCCCAACCTTGTCACACAAGCCATGCACGGTTTCCTCTTGCAACTCTATCATTATCATCATATATAGTTTTTACTACTCATTATAATATGTTTCCATTGATATATTTCACAGCAGGCTTACTGTGCCTTGAGAAGGGACAGCAGGTTGGGGGGCAATATTGTCCCTTCTAATTTTTTTACATTTCCACAGGGTACCTATTCTTTGTGCAGTTGTCCTCTTTCGTGGCTTGTTAAGAGGATATAAGGTGGTCAAATTACTTAAGAAACTGCATATCCTAGCCAGTGTAGCAGTATTAACCAAAAGGCAAACCTAGGCTCTTGGACCTAGGAGTTAGATGCAGTCCTAGAGCCATTAATTTGCTTGTCCTCAATAACCATACCTATGAGAACGCCAGATGCGACTAAGGTGCTGGTCCATTCCACTGTCCTTTCTCGCCTTGACTACTGTAATCCGCTTCTCAGAGGTCTTACGTGCTCTCAACTTGCGCCTTTCCAGTCCATAATTAATGCGGTGAGGCTCATCTTACTGTCCGTCTGCACCTCCCACGCCTCACCCTTCTGTCAGTCCCTACATTGGCTTCCTGTAAGATATAGGGCTCAATTTAAACTTCTGGTTCTTGCTTTCAAATCTCTACATAATGCTGCTCCAACCTATCTATCCTCCCTAATACACAAGTATGTCCCTTCTACGGCCTTAAGCTCTTCTGAAGACTTGCGTCTATCTTCTGTCTGTACTCCCACCTCTGATGCTCGCCTTCAAGACTTCTTGAGGAAGTAGACTTCTTGGTAGAGGTTAACACAGTAAAGGAGTTTAAGCATGCATGGGATAGGCATAAGGCTATCTTTACTATAAGATAAGGCCAGGGACTAATTAAAGTATTTAGAAAATTGGGCAGACTAGATGGGCCGAATGGTTCTTATCTGCCGTCACATTCTATGTTTCTATGTAACTGGAGGTATTTTCCTTGATTTTGCCAAGGCCTTTGACACAGTTGACCATGGCATTCTTTTGCAATAATTTAAAAACTCAGGCATTGGTGATAGTCCGCTAACCTGGTTTCGATTGTATGTTTCAGAACGATTGCAACATGTGGCCATTTCTGATAGCGCTTCCCTCCCTCTCCCAGTCACATGTGGTGTTCCCCAAGGCTCCATACTTGGCCCACTGCTATTCAAGTTATTTATAAATGATTTGCCTAACATCTGCAAAACCTCAACTGTACACATGTATGCAGACGACACTGTGAGTTACGCTAATAAACCTAAGCAACCGCAGCTTGAGGCTGTGCTCCGAAACCAATTCACAGAGGTAGAAAAGTGGATAGCGGATAACAAACTCTTCCTAAACACTGACAAAACTGTTACAATGATCTTTGGAACTGTACCTAAATTATGTAAACTACAAAATCAACAATTGTGTATCAGAATAAATTCAAATAGCACACTGACAGCAGTCTGCTCTTTTAAATATCTAGGTATGTTGCTAGACCCCAATCTATCCTTTGGCCTTCACATTAAAAAAAAATCTCTTCAAAACTTTACCCAAAACTAGCTGCCCTGTACAGAAACAAATCCTGCCTAAGCCCTAGAGTAAGGAAACAGATAGTGCAACAAATGCTAATGCCGGTCATTGATTATGGGGATGTAGTGTATGCACCCGCACCGTAAACCCACCTTAATAAACTTAATACTTTATATCATTCCTTCTGCCGCTTTTTACTAGAATGTAATTACTTTACCCACCACTGTGACATGTTAAAAGAGCTAAACTGGCCGTCGCTGGAATCCCAACGCACGCTTCACTTTTCCAGCCTTGTGCATAAGAGCATTTCTGGAAAGCTACGACCCTACCTGAGTAGAATGCTCTCCCCGGCTGTTCCCACCTCCTATAACCTCCGATCCAGTACTAGCACGATATTTAGCATACCGCAATACAAAAATAAAGTGGCTCGATGCTCCTTTTCCTACAGAGCACCGCAATTATGGAATAACCTCAAGGACACAGTTCAATCTAAAATCTTTTAAGAGATCTATGGCAATATACCTCAGCAGAGAATGCACCTGTCATGGTTGAATATATTTATCACCTGTTATGTGTTAAATTTATATATGTGTATATGTTTATAGTTTGTATATTGTATTTTTGTAATATTTTATCCTATTGTAGCAATTCAATGTTTTGTGGACCCATACATTTATAAATAAATAACAATATAAGAATTTGCATGCATTGCATATATTTGTGAAAAAATGACTATGGATTTGCCCATTTATGCTATAACTTTCCAGTTAATTTCTTTATCCTAAAATGTGATTCTAAAAACTCACAGTACTGATTAATTACGGAGTTAGTTTTAACTTCCTGATGCTTGTTCTTTTAGTTTATTTATGAGGAATTAGAAATCGATATATAAAAATTGTAATAACATATTTTGAGAACAGAAGAATTAATAAAGTTCTGCCGAAAAGTCTGTAAATGAGAATACATAACCGTTTATATGTGTTTCACCATCCCCAGCCATTAGTCACACATAATAAGTAGATTTAACTACTGTGAATAGAGTTATTATTATTATTATTATTATTTTATTATTTATAAAGTGCCAGCAAATTCCCCAGCTCTGTACAATGGGTGGACTAACAGACACGTAATTGTAACCAAACTAGTTGAAAGCACAGGAACAGAGGGCTTGAAGTCCCTGCTCAGTGAGCTTACATGCTAGAGGGAGTGGGGTACAGTGACACAAAGGGTAATCGGTAGGGTAGAAAAGTAGGTAGCTAGAATAATATTTAGTGAGGCCTTAGTAGGTTATTTTTGATGGTTGCAGGAGAGGGATCAGGGTGTGGGGAGGGAAAATTGTTAACAGTTTAATTGATACGCTTTCCTGAAGTACTGAGTTTTCAATGATTTTTTTAAGTAATGGAGACTGCGTGAAAGTCTAATGGAGAAGGGAAGTGACTTCCACAGATAAGGTGCAGCCCTGGAGAAGTCTTGAAGACGAGCATCAGAGGTGGTAGTACGGACAGAGGATAGACGTAGGTCTTAGTCAGAACAGGACAGGTGGGGCAGGGATGGACTGACAGTGGCCCAGGCTCTTGGGCAAAATTAGCACCTGTATGTGCATGTAAAGTGAATGTATGTTTCTGTGTGTATATTGACTGTGAGCGCTAGTGTAAGTGAATATATGTATGTCTTTGTGTGTAGTGTCAGGATATGTGGATTCATAGTATATTTGAATACATGTCTTTGGTTTTGTAAACTACTAGGGTAGTATTTTGTTGTGCGTTTGTGTAGCATGGCATAACACCCTGTTCAAAATTATTATGCAAATTATATTTTTCTCATTTACCTGAATAATTGATGTAAATAACAGTCAGCATAATTCTCATGTTATCAACTATTAAGAATACAATTAAAATTTTATTGAACAAACCTCCTAATGATAACAGTATTTTTTTAAACATAAAAAACTTACAATGCACTGTTCCAAATTATTACGCACAGTAAGTTTAAAAACACTTTATAGGTTGTAAAGCACTGAAAATTGTCTATTTGTGTGTTTGCAGCATATTTACTGAAATCAAAAGCTATTTCAATCAAACTTATAACAACATTTTAACTTTTAAATATTTTAACAGGTCACATTACATTTTAACATAGGACCCCTTATTTAATAGCAGCTTCACAAGTCTTGCATCCATTGAACTTGTGAGTTTTTGGACAGTTTCTGCTTGAAGTTGTTTGCAAGATGTCCGAATAGCCTCCCAGAGCTGCCTCCCACCCTCATAGATCTTTTGCTTGATGATGCTTCAAAGGTTCTCAATAGGATTGAGATCGGGGCGGATGGCGGGCACACCATGATCTTCTCTCATTTTATCACCATAGCAACCATTGATGCAGAGGGTATTCTTTGCACCATGAGATGGTGCATTGACATGCATGAAGATTATTTTTTTACGGAAAGCATAGTTCTTCCTTCTGTACCATGGAAGAAAGTGGTCAGTCAGAAACTCCACATACTTTGCAGAGGTAATTTTTACACCTTCAGGGACCCTAGAGGGGCTGACCAGCTCTCTTCCCATGATTCCAGCCCAAAACATGACTCCACCACCGCCTTGCTGACGTTGCAGCCTTGTTGGAACAGGGTGGCCGTCCACCAACCATCCACTACTCCATCCATCTGGACCATCCGGGGTTGCACGGCACTCATCAGTGAACAGGACTGTTTGAAAATTAGTCTTCATGTATTTTTCTGCCCAATGCAGCCGTTTCTGCTTGTGAGCATTGGTTAGTGGTGGCCGAATAGAAGGTTTATGCACAGTTGCAAGACTCTGGAGCAGGGCCGCCATCAGGGCATGACAACCATAACGGTTGTCATGGGCCCAGCGGTCATGGGGGGCCCGGACTGCTCAGGTTGTCCCGGGCCCCGCATTCAGTGGAGTACATACCGGGGTCGCAGGGGGCCCGGCCGCCCTGCGACCCGGTATGTACCCAGTGTGGCCAGCCTCTTCTCCTGGGGGGCCCAGCAGCCGGTCACCTCAGGGCCCCCCGAGGCTGGCCCTGGTGTCACCCGGCGGGCGGGTGCGCAAGGGAGCACTCTCCCCTGAGTGCTTCCTCTTCAGCTCCCTCACACACCGCACTGATGCCGGAGCCAGAAGATGACGTCATATTCTGGCTCCGGCATCAGTATGCGGTGCGTGAGGGAGCTGAAGAGGAAGCACTCAGCCAGGGCGAGTGCTCCCTCGCGCGCCCGCCATCCCTCCCGCCGGGTGACACCACTGGACCCCAGGGAATCCCCTCAGCACTTCCACAGATAAGGAGGCTGGGGGGATTAAATAAAAAAAAAAGTGTGTGTGTGTGTGTTAGAGTGTGTGTGTGTGTGTGTTAGTGTTAGAGTGTGTGTTAGTGTGTGTGTGTGTAAGTGTGTGTTAGAGTGTGTGTGTGTTAGTGTGTGTGTGTTAGAGTGTGTGTGTGTGTGTGTTAGAGTGTGTGTGTGTTAGAGTGCGTCTGTGTGTGTTAGTGTGTGTGTGTGTTAGAGTGTGTGTGTGTGTTAGAGTGTGTCAGTGAGTGTGTTACTGTGTGTGTCTGTTACTGAGTGTGTTAGTTTGTGTGCGTCTGTTAGTGAGTGTGTGTTTTGTGAGTGAGTTTGTGTATGTTTGTCACTGAGTGTGTGTCTGTCAGTAAATGTGTGTGTCTGTTAGCTAGTGTGTATGCGTCTGTTCATGAGAGTGTGTGTGTGTGTGTCTTAAGCACTTACCTTTCTCCAACGCCAGACTCAATTGGCGCTGGGGATCTCTCCGCCCTGATCCGCTCCGGGATCAGCTCCAAATGCGCATGCGTGGCAAAAGCCGCGCGCGTGCGCATTCAAACCGCCCATAGGAAAGCATTACTCAATGCTTTCCTATGGACGTTCAGTGTCTTCTCACTGTGATTTTCACAGTGAGAATCGCGGAAGCTCCTCTAGTGGCTGTCAATGAGACAGCCACTAGAGGCTGGATTAACCCTCAGTGAAACATAGCAGTTTCTCTGAAACTGCTATGTTTTCAGCTGCAGGGTTAAAACTAGAGGGACCTGGCACCCAGACCATTTAATTGAGCTGATGTGATCTGGATGTCTGTAGTGGTCCTTTAAGTGTATCTGCATGCACTGGAGTACATACCGCAGTTGCAGGGGTCACAGCCCTGCGACCAGGTGCCCGCCGCAGTGTAAGCGCTTGCGGGGGGGCCCATGGATCAGTTTTCGCACCGGGACCCCTTGGGTTGTGTGTACGCCACTGACCACATTAGCTATGTGCACACATATATAGCGATTAACGCTATATATGTGTGCACTGCGGGCCCCCCGCTGCCTGTATTCTGCAGTGGGCCCAGCACATTTGAAATATACTGCCCAGATGCTCTACTCTGTCGAAGTTTCACGAGCGACGTGATCGTCAGAGGATTGCCATGGCAATGCTCCGCATGGCTCGCGAGTCTTCGACAGAGCAGGGCATCTGGGCAGTATATTTCAAGTGTGCTGGGCCCCCTGCAGAATACAGGTAGCGGGGGCTGCACCATTCCTCAGGACCTCCGGCTCTAGGACTCCAGCCAATGTGATCTCCCCCCTCCGTGGCCACAGGTGAGATACAGGGAGGGAATAAAACAATACAATTAACGGATGGAAAAAAAAACTGTAGGCTTTTCCTCCCACATTTTGCAGCCCCATACATTTACACACACTATACTCTAACATTTACACACATTATTCACTAACATTTACACACACTATACACTAACACTTACATACACTATTGACTAACATGTACACACACTATACACTAACATTTACACCCACTATTCACTAACATTTACACACACTATACACTAACATATACACACAATGTTCACTAAAATTTACACACACTACATCCTTATACAAACATACACTCTGCAGTCACTACACACACTACATCCTTACACAAACACACACTCTGCAGTCACTACACACTACTTCCTAACACAAACACACACTCTGCAGTACCTACACAAACACACACACATTTTGTAGTCACTACACACACTACATCCACTACACAAACACACAGTCTGCAGTCACTATACACACATTAAATACTTACACAAACACACACTATGTAGTCATTATACACACACTACATCGACTACACAAAGACACACTCTGCATTCACACACTGTATTCAATAAACACTACATCCACTACACACACTCTACATTCACTACACACACAAACTACATCCACTACACAAACACACACTCTGCATTCACTATACACATCACATTTAATACACACAAACACTACATCCACTACACAAACACACATACACACTCTGCATTCACTATAAACACACACTACATCCACTACACAAACACACACTCTGCATCTAATATACACCTCATCAGGGCCGGTGCAAGGATTTTTGCCGCCCTAGGCAAAAGTAAAGTTTGCCGCCCCCCCCCCTCGTGACATCACAATGCCCCACCCATATGACCTGCCATGTTAACTAACGCTAGTGCCTCAGTGCCGCTGTGTTTACATTAAAAGGCCTGCAGGGACAGGCTATAGACACCAGGACCACTACATTAAGCTGCAGTGGTTCTGGGGACTATAGTGTTTCTTTAATGTGAGGTAAATTAGAGATTAGTGCCATGAATAATATACTAGATTACCTACTTACAAGCAGATGAGGATGATGATGGGCTTTAGCTGCAGTCTGGCTCCACTGGTCTGGTGTATAACAGGACAGGGCCGGACTGGGAGAAAAATTCGGCCCGGGCATTTTTTTAACACAGCGGCCCACTAAGAAGGGGGCGGGGGCAGAGGAGGTGTGTTTTGTCATCACCAATGACAAACATGCCCCCTCTCAAAGTGAGCATGTTGGTTCAATGCTCTTCCAGGGCAGACCATGCGCAGAGCTCTGCTGAAGAGCTCTAGCATGATCAAAAAAGCCCTGTATTTGTTCTGCACAGTGCAAGCAAATTTAATAACATGCTTGCACTGTGTTTCCTTGCAAATTGTCTCTGGTTTCTCTATAAAGATACCAGGAAACAAAAATGCCAGGAAAGAGTATTGTGCATGTGTTTGGAGCCTGCTTGTGGTATTGCGTGAGCTGATTGTGGTGCGGTATTGTGTAATAAGGTTGGTTTTAGTCATGTTGTGTTTGTGGTGTAATGTGATGCATATGTGGCTAGGGGCTGTAGAGAATGTGTGTATAGGGGATATAGCAAGTGTGTGCATACAGGCTATAGTGCGTGTGTGTGTGTGTGTGTGTGTGTGTATATAGGTGATGTAGTGTATGTTTAGGGGTGTAGTATGTGTTTGCTTACAAGGAATCTAGTGTGTGTATAGGGGATCCAGAGTGTGTATGTTAAGAGTGTAGTGTGTGTGTGTATATATATATATAAAAATATATATTTGGAAGTATTGTGTATGTGTGTGGTGCAGTGTGTTGAGGGGGTTCTGTGTGTATGTGAGGGGTGCAGTATGTGTGTCTGAGGGGTGTGGTGTGTGATGTGTGTGAGAGTGCGGTGTGTGAGAGTGCTCTGTGTGATGTGTGTGTGTCTGATGAGTGTGAGAGTGCTGTGTATGATGTGTGTGAGAGTGCAGTGAGTGAGAGTGCCGTGAGTGAGAGTGCGTGAGTGCTGTGAGAGTGCTGTGTGAGAGAGAGTGCTGTGAGAGAGTGCTGTGTGAGAGAGCTGTGTGAGAGAGTGCTGTGTGAGAGAGTGCTGTGTGAGAGTGCTGTGTGAGAGTGCTGTGTGAGAGAGTGCTGTGTGAGAGAGTGCTGTGTGTGAGAGTGCTGTGTGTGAGAGTGATGGGTGTGAGAGTGAGTGCTGTGTGAGAGTGAGTGCTGTGTGAGAGTGAGTGCTGTGTGTGAGAGTGAGTGCTGTGTGTGAAAGTGCTGGGTGTGAGAGTGCTGGGTGTGAGAGTGCTGGGTGTGAGAGAGTGCTGTGTGTGAGAAAGTGCTGTGTGTGAGAAAGTGCTGTGTGTGAGAGTGATGGGTGTGAGAGAGTGCTGTGTGTGAGAGTGATGGGTGTAAGAGTGCTGTATAAATGTTAGAATGGATTGTGTGTGTAGGGGGGAGGGGGGTTAAATAAATAAAGTAGGCATTATGTCCCCCCTCCCTTCTTACCTTTAGCCTGGGAGGGGGGGACCGGCACACTGATCCCTGGGACTGGGAGGGGGGGTTCCCTGGTGGTCCTTGTGGTGAGATCCGGTCGTTGCCATGGCAACGCGCCGGATCTCGCGAGAGGAACCCGGCGGAGTTCTAATTTAGAGCTCCGCCGGGTCCTCTCTCCTAGCGGCTGTCTCCTCCCTCTCCCCCTGCCCGCGGCCGCATTATACAGCATGTGGGCCGGTGAGGGAGATCTTTGATTTCCCTCACCGGCCCTTCATGGAAAACAGCGGGGCCGGCGCTCGGATAGTGCCGGCCCTGCATAGACCGGCAGGGGAGATCCTGGGAGCTCCCCTGCCGGCCTCGGCCCATGGCCACCGCGGCCCACCGGGCATTTGCCCGGTGTGCCCGATGGCCAGTCCGGGCCTGTAACAGGATCTCTGGAGGCTGTTTGTAACTGTGGTCACAAAAATCAATGTTCTGGGAGAACAAGAAGCAGCTCCATTTTTTGGGGGCCCTTTACACAGCTCAAGTTCTGGGTCCCAGGGTCCACCTTCATGTTCCACCAATGAGTTTGTTCACAGGGGGTGGAGTGTGTAGGGGATGTCCTGATTTGTGTGTAAGGAATGCATTGTGTGAATCTGTGTTTGTATGTGTAAGGGCTGCAAGGTGTGTTTCTGTGTATGTAAGGGATGAAGTGTGTGTCTGTAAAGGGTGCTTTGAGTGTGTTTAAGGGGTGCATTGAGTGTGTGTAAGGAATGCATTGTGTGTTTCTGTGTGTGTAAGGGATGCATTGTGTGTAAGGGTTGCATTGCGTGTGTGTGTGTAATGCATTGTGTGTGTAATGCATTGTGTGTGTAATGCATTGTGTGTTTTTCTGTGTGCAAGGGGTTCATTGTCTTTGTGTGTAAGGGGTGCATTGTGTGTGATTGTGTGTGTGATGGATGTCAATCTCTCCCCCCTCCCTTGTCACTCTCTTCTCCCCCCCTCCCTTGTCACTCTCTTCTCCCCCCCTCCCTTGTTACTCTCATTCCCCCTCCCTCCCCTGTCACTCCCCCCTCCCTGTCAATTTCTCTCTCCCCGTCAATTCCCCTCCCTGTCAATGTCTCCCCCCTCCCTGTTAGTTCCCCCCCTGTTAGTTTCTTCCCCCCACCTCCCTGTTAGTTTCTTTCTCCCCCCTCCCGTCAGTTTATTTCTTCCCCCCTCCCCTCCCTGTTTCTTTCTTCCCCCTCCCTGTTTCTTTCTTCCCCCTCCTTCCCTGTTTCCTTCTCCCCCTCCCTCCCTACCTGTTTCCTTCTCCCCCCTCCCTCCCTACCTGTTTCCTTCTTCCCCCTCCCTCCCTCTTTCTTCCCCCTCCCTCCCTGTTTCCTTCTCCCCCCTCCCTCCCTCTCTGTTTCTTTCTTCCCCCTCCCTCCCTCTCTGTTTCTTACTTCCCCTCCCTCCTGTTTCCTTCTTCCCCCTCCCTCCCTCTTTCTTCCCCTCCCTCCCTCCTGTTTCTTTCTTCTCCCCCCCTCCCTCTCTGTTTCTTTCTTCTCCCCCCTCCCTCCCTCTCTGTTTCTTTCTTCTCCCCCTCCCTCCCTCTCTGTTTCTTTCTTCTCCCCCCTCCCTCCCTGTTTCCTTCTCCCCCCTCCCTCTGTTTGTTTCTTCTCCCCCTCCCTCCCTGTATCTTTTATTTACCCCCCCTCCTGTTTCTTCTCCCCCTCCTCCCTGTATCTTTTCTTCACCCCCTCCTGTTTCTTCTCCCCTCCCTCCCTGTATCTTTCCACCCCCCTCCCTCCTGTTTCTTCTCCCCCCTCCCTCCCTGTATCTTTCTTCTCCCCCTCCCTCCCTGTTTCCTTCTCCCCTCCCTCCCTGTTTCCTTCTCCCCCCTCCCTCCCTCTCTGTTTGTTTCTTCTCCCCCCTCCCTCCCTCTCTGTTTCTTTCTTCTCCCCTCCCCCCTACCTGTGTAGTAGCGTGGCCGAGCCCAGTATAGTCCGCGGGTACAGGGAGCTGTTGTTTCCTGTACCCGGCCGGACTAACAGGAAGTGAACACTCAGTGTTCACTTCCTGTTAGTCCGGCTGGGTACAGGAGACAGCTGCTCCCTGTACCCGTCGGACCATGCTGCCAGGCTCGGCCACGCTACAGTGAGGGAGCTGACAGGAGGGAGCGCTGAGCGCTGAGCGCTGAGCGCTTCCCTCCTGTCAGCCTCTCCTCAGGCTGCGCCCGGGCGGTGTGGTCCGCCCTCATGGACGCACCGCCCGGGAAAAGCTGCAGCCGCCCGAGGCTCTTTACAGAGCGCTCGGGCGGCTGCAGCATGAGCGGGCCCGGCGCTCCTGGTGGCGCCCCCTCCCAAGGGGCGCCCTAGGCGGCTGCCTAGTCCGCCTAACAGGTAGCGCCGGCCCTGCACCTCATACATTACACAAATGTACAATCTGCATCCACTATACACACAGCATCTGTTAAACACACTGCATCCACTTAACACACGAACTCTGCATCCACTACACACATTCTACATCCACTATACACACAACAGAATCAGTACAGACACTGCATCCCTGTGGGCGGACTCGGGGGGGGGGGCAACACTTTGGGCGGACTCAGATGCAGGCACCGGGGGGGCCCAGATCTTGAGCTGTGTCAGGGGCCCCACAATTTCTGATGGCAGAAAATGCTCCCTTGACAAAGGCTTTTCAGCCGAAACGTTGTTTTTTTTTTGATTGACTCTGTCCCTACTTCTCACTGAATTTGGTATGGTTTGCTGCATTTTTTTTTATATGTGTGGGTTTTCATTATACTAGTACTATAGTGGACTGTTTGCATGATATTTCTTTCATTCATTTATTACGCATTGAGCGTTTATATTTGCCTATATCATTACTTTTCTGGTAAATGCTTTTGAATAGCATGACTTTGTACCTCTGTGGATAATATTTAAAGAGACAGCCCTATAGTATATACCCATTTAATAAAGATTTTTTCATATATATAAAGATTTATGGTTGTGCTCCTTACTCTATTCACACTGTTATGTATTTTGGGTTCTTTAGGGGATAGAGCCTTATGTGGGTGAGCACCCAATATTTATTATATTAGCCTTTTCCTGGGGCTATTTTGTTGTTTAGTCGAGTGTGCCCGCCTTGTTTCATTTGCATTATGTAATGGTATTTTAGCAGCTGCTCTCTTGATCCGATGCATGGATCTGGCAGAAATCTTCCTCATTGTGCCTTCATCTGCACAAACCTGTCTGTGCTCTGAATCAGCCACAAATCTCTTAATAGTGCAATGATCACGCTTATGTTTTCGTGAAATATCTAATGTTTTCATACCTCGTCCAAGGCATTGAACTATTTCACTCTTTTCGGCAGCAGAGAGATTCTTTTTCTTCCCCATATTGCATGAAAATGGTGCTCTGCTTAATAATGTGGAATACCTACCTTTAGTAGTTTTTCCTTAAATTGGGCTCACCTGGCAATCTAATTATCACAGGTGTCCGAGATTGTTTTCAGTGATCAAAAGAGCCCTGAGACACAATGCCATCCATGAGTTAAACTGAAAAACAAAATATTTAATCTTTGTGACACTTAACCCCTTAGCGACGAGGGGTTCAGGACCGTCATCGGCATTTTTGCTGAGGACCGATGGCGGTCCTGAACCGTCCTAACGGTCTGGGGGTACTTACCTGATCGCCGTCGTTCCCCCGGCGGCGATCAGTGTTGCTCCGGTTGTGGGGAGACTGCCTGCAGCCCAGACAGTCTCCCCACACTGAATTAGGACCCCTGTGACCATGTGATCGCTCAACACAGCGATCACATGGTCACAATAGGTGTCCATAGTGCTGCCTGCAGGGGGACTGCCTGTGCTGACAGGCAGTCTCCCTGCTAGTGTAAAATCAAAAAATAAAATAAAGTTAGTGATAATAAAAAAAAAATAATTATATATGTGTATACATATATGATATATAGACATATAATATAGCTATATAATATATGTCTATATATCATCTATATAATGCCATACTAAGTGTATTTTTATATTAATATGTACTTATATTAATATAAAAATACACTTATAATTAAATTACACACGTATATATATAATATATATAATAACTATATATATTGTATATATAGATTATTATAAAATATAAATAATAAGTAATTTAAATTAAATAAAAACATTTTAAAATAATAATAATAATTAAAAAAAAAATTATATAGCTATATGAAATTTTATTCTAACTGTATTTTAAAATTAATATATATATATTTATATCAAAATACACTTAGAATGAATTTGTATATATATATCTATGTATATAAAATAAATAAAAATAATAAGAAATATACATACGTCCATATACAAAATTACATAAATAATTATATAAATATACACATAGACTTCAAATATATAAATATGCATATATATTTAAATTCTACGTGCGTATTTATGTAATATTTTTACATAATTCAGTAATTTTATTGATTGCAATTTGAGGGACCTGCCTGCCAGCCCAGGCCGAAATTCCAGAGAATTGAATTTGCTAGCACTGTATTTTACCCTGTAACGTTCTACGACACCCTAAAACCTGTACATGGGGGTACTGTTTTACTCGGGAGACTTTGCTGAACACAAATATTAGTGATTCAAAACAGTAAAACATATCACAGCGATGATATTGTCAGTGAAAGTTACTTTTTTTGCATTTTTCACACGCAAACAGCACTTTTACTGATGATATAATTGTTGTGATACGTTTTCCAGTTTTTAAACACTAATATTTGTGTTCAGCGATGTCTCCCGAGTAAAACAGTACCCCCCATGTACAGGTTTTATAGCATTTTTGAAAGTTACAAGGTCAAATATATGGGTCAAATATTTTTACATTGAAAATGGCCAGGTTGGTTACGTTGCCTTTGAGAGCGTATGGTAGCCCAGGAATGAGAATTACCCCATGATGGCATACCATTTGCAAAAGAAGACAACCCAAGGTATTGCAAATGGGGTATGTCCAGTCTTTTTTAGTAACCACTTGGTCACAAAAACTGGCCAAAATTAGCGTTCAATTTAGTTTTTTTACTTTTTTCACTCACAAACAAATATGAATGCTTACTTTGGCCAGTGTTTTCGACTAAGTGGCTACTAAAAAAGACTGGACATACCCCATATTGAATACCCTGGGTTGTCTACTTTTAAAAAAATATGTACATGTGGGGTGTTATTCAGAGATTTATGACAGATAATAGTGTTACAATGTCACTATTGATAAATTTAAAAAATTTATGTTTTGAAACCGCAATATTCTACTTGTACCTATAGCCCTATAACATGCAAAAAAAAGCAAAAAGCATGTAAACACGGGGTATTTTTAAACTCAGGACAAAATTTTGAATCTATTTAGCAGTTTTTTTCATTCGCTTTTGTAGATGAGTAAAAGATTTTTCAAGTAAAAGTCAAAAAACATGTATTTTTTTCAATTTTTCATCATATTTTTTTATTTTTTTTAAATTAAAATACATGAGATTATATAAATAATGGTATGTAAAGAAAGCCCCTTTTGTCCTGAAAAAAACAATATATAATTTGTATCGGAACAGTAAATGAGAGAGCGGAAAATTCCAGCCAAACACAAACACCACAAAAGTGTAAAAATATGCCTGGTCGCAAATGTACAACATCGCAAAAACAGTCCAGTCCTTAAGGGGTTAAATAGAATTTGCATAATAATTTGGAACAGGGTGTATGTATCAGGGGGTATTTGTGAATTTTGGCAATGTGTTTGTATAAGGTATGCAGGACTCCAAATGTTGCATCTTAAATTACAAACCAAGTGTTAAATGTTACAAGCCACCTTAAAGGAACACTATAGAGTCAGGAATGCAAACGTGTATTCCTGACACTATAGGTTTATAGGCCCCACTTAAAAACGTGATTTACTCCGTTTTTTTCCAGCAACGACCAAACTCCTTGGTAGAGTTCATCAATTTAGATGATCTCAGCCAATCCAATGCTCTACCATAGGAAGGCACTGGAAGGCTATTGTGCATGAGCGGGAAAACGCTACCCTGTACCAATCACCATCTCCTCATAGAGATGCATTGAATCAGTGCTTCTCTATAACAAGCATTCAGCGTCTCCATGCAGAGCGTGGAAATGCTGAATGTCAATGCTGCACATTTTGCAACACTGACATTAAGTACCTAGGTGTTCCTAGGCAGCAATGAAAACACTACCTTTTCTCTGAAAAGGCAATCTTTACAGCAAAAACCCTGCATGGGGCAGACTATACTCACCAGAACAACTACATTAAGCTGTAGTTGTTCTGGTAACTATTATGTCCCTTTATGCTTGTGCGTGCAAAGGGGTAGGGACTGCAGAGGGTACCGGGAGGCACGGGCTGTAGAGGGAATGGGGGGGAGGGACTGTAAAGGGTACATGGGGTGGAATAGAGAGGGGTAGGCTTTAGTGGATGCAAAGGGTAATAGGGTATGTCGGGATTGCAAGGGGAAATAGGAGCTGTAATAAGTGCAGGGGGTATAGGGGCTGTTGTGAGTGCAGGAGTGTAAGTGATGCTTTAGTAGATGCAGGAGAATTAGAGGCTGTAGTGGGTGCAGAGGAGGGATAGGGCTGTAGTGGGTGCAGGGGGTAATATGGGCTGTTGTCTTTGCAGGGGTAAATAGGAACTGTAGTAAGTGCAGGGAGTGTAGGGGCTGTAGTGGGTAGGAGCTAAAGTGCAGGGGGAAATGGGGGCAGAGGGTACAGGGGGCTAGGGTCTTCCTAGGTGTTAGCGGCTACAGATGGAGTGGGGGGTAGGAGCTACAGAGAGGGCAGCTGCTGCAGAGGGAGCAGGGAGCTTAGGGGATACAGAAGGAGCAGGGGGGCTGGGGATGCAGAGGGGGTTGGGGATGCAGAGGGAGCAGGGGGGGCTTGGACCGCAGGGGGTAAGGGCTGCAGAGAGAGAAAAGGGGGCTGCAGAAGGAGCAAGGGGGTAGGGGCTGCAGAGTGAGCAGGGCTCTAGAGGGTGTAGGGGCTGTAGATAGTGCCTTGGGTTGATAGGTGTTGTAGTAAGTGTAAAGGTAGGGGCTACAGGGGGAGCTGGGGGTAGGGCTGCAGAGGGAGCAGGGGGTAGGGGCTGTAAAGGGTGCCTTGGAATGATACAAGTTGTAGTAAGTGTAAAGGTAGAGGCTTCAGAGGGAGCAGGGGGTAGGGGCTGCAGTGAGAGCAGTGGGTTAGGGGCTGCAGTGGGAGCAGGGGGGTTGGGGCTGCAGAGGGAGCAAAAGGATAGGGGCTGCATAGGGAGCAAGGGGGATTGGGCAGTAGTGGGGGAAATTATATAATTCAAATATTTTTAATTTTAAAAAATCATTTTAAAAAAAATAAAGCCCCCTTCCCAAGTCTTACCTCCCTGGTGGTCCAAAAATCCTCTTCTGAAGTAACTTCACCGCTCCAGGGCACACAATGCTGACTTCCTGCCTATAATTCTGCTAAGGGCAGCTCCGCACACCGTGACTGATGATGTCACT